AACATTAGCAGCAATAAGAACGCAAATGCACTGTTTCAGAGGCTGTTATGTCCAAAGCCCCTCCAAGGAAGAGAGATGACAAGTGCCCAAGAGGGATCAAATGCGAAAACAATGCAGTTACAGGAAAACCCTCTTATCAGGCTGTATTCCATCTAGCCCTTCTGGGCAGAACCTTGTCCATGGCTAACTTCTTATCAATCAGGGTAATGGCAAAGCAGATGACACACTGCATAACTTGAGATTTTCATAAAGGGACTACTTACTAAAATTTGGGAAGGGTTAGGAAAACCAACAAAAGACAATGCAATACTCTAAGAGCAGCAATAATGGGGTGCTGTTTCCATCCCAGAAGCAAAGGAAGGAAGCAGTTATAGGAACATGGAGAAAGAGAGAAGTTGAGAGGGACACCAGGCAAGGGCTTGTGGCCTTGAGTAAAAGAAAGCAGTCAACCCAAAACAAGCAGGGATGGAGGGAGAAAAGGGAATGGACATTCCTATCTTGTTCTCTTGTCACAGCCTTCAAATTCCAATTGGCTGAATCCAACTGGACACCTGAGGGTGAGGACCCTACTGATATAATCCATACAGGTCAGCCTCCATGGACATAGACCAAGGCAGACAGTAGTTCTGGAGGAGCAACCAGAAGATATCTACTTCTGTAGAGGACCACAAAGTGAATGTAAAACAAACTGAAAATAATATGCAAAAAACATCAAATAGTTCAGCTGGCTGGAGCAAAGAGGGTAATGTATGGCATTCATGGAAGAAAAAGTAAAAGTGACCAGGATGCAGTAGAAGACAGTTAAGATTATGCTAAGAAGTCCCAAATTAATTTGGTGAGTATTAAGCAACCAGTGAGGATACACATGCAGGAGAGCAAAATAATCCCAGATGAATGGTAGCAGTATATGCAGTCAGATGGGAAGGAGAGTCACGGACAGCAAAACTCAGTAAGATTATTCCAGCAGTCCAGGAATTAAAGAGATAGTACGAGGTAAACATTAACATGATCTGTGTCCATAATATGCTCTGGGTTTCCAGTTTAAGCTGGGAAAACTGAGCCTCAGAGAAATGACTTGCTGAAAGGGAACCAACAACGGTCAACTGCAACAAAAGTCACATTATTTCACAGACATATGCTGTCTCAATGAAGTACTGGTAGTAGAAATGGAAAGCAAAGAACAGAAGTTCATTGATAAGCACAGTTCTCTATTAGCTAAGAATTCTCAGACAAATCACTTAACGCCTTCATAGCTCAGCTTTCCCATCTGCAAACAAAGGACAGGTACCAAAATTATTCCTTGCATCTTGAAAATTCTTTCGTTACATTACTAACACTTATCAGCCTTCCCACCTTTTAACCAAACCTGCTAAGGATCACCCCCATCAGCTTCATCTTCAATTCACTCTCACAACTAAATCCAAATGCAATCTCTCTAATAAATCCACTCAAGTCCAAATCTATCAATGAGAAGCTATCCTTAATTAATCCACCCTGGGGTGACTGGTCTTCGGTGATGTCCTGTAGACATTATATCTCTCCAAGCAAATTACCAAGCACACTGTTGACTACCTAACATTAATTTTTTTAAAAATAGTTTTATTTTTAGTGCAGTTTTAGGTTCATAGCAAAATTGAGCAAAAGTACAGTACTGCCTCCCCCAACACAGTCTTCACACTATCAACGTCCTATACCAGAGTGGTATATTTGTTAACAACCAATGAACCTATACTGACACATCATGATCACCCAGTTTACACTAGGGTTCACTCTTGGTGTTGTACATTTTATGGGTTTTGACAAATGACCTGTGTCCATTACTACAGTGTCATACATGATGGTATCACTGTCATACATATCTTCTATGCTATCTATTCATCTCTCTGTACCCTCTAACTACTGGCATCCACTGATCATTTTACTGTCTCCATAGTTTTACCTTTTCTACAATTCCCTATGTTTGGAATCAAACAGTACATAGCCTTTTCAGACTGACTTCTTATTCTTTGTAATATGCATTTAAGGTCCTTCTATGTTTTTTTAATGGTTTCATAGCTCATTTCGTTTTTGTGTTGTATAATGTTCCACGGTCTGGATGTACCAGAGGTTAATTATCCACATATTTACTGACGGACATCTTTGTTGCTTCTGAGTTTTGGCAACTATGAATAAAGCAACAATAAACACTGTGTGCAGGGTTTTTTGTAGACATAAGTGTTAAATTCATTTGGGTAAATATCAAGAAGCATAAATGCTGGACTATATGATAAAACTATTTACTGTTGATTTTTAAAAATGACAAACCCTGCTGGATGTGGTGCCTCACATCTGTAATCCCAGTACTTTGGGAGGCTGAAGTGAGAGGATTGTTTGAGTCAAGGAAGTTGAGACCAGTTTGGACAACATAGCAACATGCCATCTCTATAAAAATTAAAACCAGGCATGGTGGTGCACACCTGTAGCTCCCAACTACTTGAGAGAATGAAGAGGGACGACTGCCTGAGCCCAGGAGTTTGAAGCCATGGTAAGCTGTAATCGTGCCACTACACTCCAGTGTGGGTGACAGTGAGATTCCCAACTCAAAAAAACAAACAAAACAACTGACAAACTGTCTTTCAAAGTGGCCTACTGCATTCCCATCAGCAATGAACAAGAGTTCCCATTGCTCCACATCCTTGCCAGAATTTGGTGTTGTCAATATTTTGGATATTGACCTTTGTACTATAGGAGTGTAGTGGAATATAACATTACACTGCATATTGCTTTAGTTGGCAAATCACTAGTGATATATGATGCTGAACATCTTTTTATATGCCTATTTGCCATCTGTACCTCTTCTTTGGTTAAGTGTCTGTTCAGGTCATTTCCATTTTTTAACTGGGTTGTTCATTTTCTTATTGTTGAGTAGTAAGGGTTCTTCATATATTTTGGATAATATTTCTTTAACAGATATGTGTTTTGAAAATATTTTCTTCTGTTCTGTGACTTACCTTTTTCTCATTCTAACAGTATCGTTTGTAGAGCCAAGGTTTTTCATTTTAATAACATTCAACTTATCAATTATTTCTTTTATAGATCATACTTTTGATGTTGTATCTAAAAAGTCATTGCCATAACCAAGGTCACCTAGATTTCCTCATATATTATCTTCATCACCATTAATTTTGTTAAAAAAATCACTAAGAGACCAGTACGTGCCTAGGACTTAAACCAAAAGATGAATAAGGTAACAACAACCTCAAGCATCTGAAAGCACTGCTTAACAAGCTCAATCGAAAAACCTTTATGGCCGTGAATTTTTTTTTTTTTTTTTTTTTTTTGAGTTGGAGTCTCACTGTCACCCAGACTGAAGTGCAGTGGCTGCTTCGGCCACCACAGCCTCGACCTCCTGGGCTCTGGTGATCCTTCTGCCTCAGCTTTCTGAGTAGCTGGAACTACAGGCATGTACTACCATGCCAGGCTAATTTTTTGATTTATTGTAGAGATGAGGTCTCGCCAAGTTGCCCAGGCGGGTCTTGAACCCGCGGGCTCAGGCAATCCACTCATCTCAGCCTCCCAAAGCGCGAGATTACAGGCTGAGCCACTGAGCCCGACTGGCAGTGAATTTCAACTAGGAGAGAGCAATCACAGTATAGTGTGAATCATAACACAATGTAAGAGAATAGGCTGTGTGTGGAGCCAGATTTGAGTTGGGACTCAAATCCCAACTCTATCGCACTTACTAGTTGGATGCCCTTGTGGCTCAACTTCCTCATCTGCAAAATGAGTAAATATTTATACCCACTTTGCTTCCCAATACTACTGAGAAGACTAAATGGCTTAATCCACATGAAGTGTTTAGCATAGTGTCCATCACATTGTTAAGTACAGTACACAATACAATCTAGTACTTCTAGATTCTCCATAATTGGGTTAAGGAATAGTTTGAAAAAAATATTTAAAATAATCATTGCTATAAAATTTTTAATCCTGATATTTCATTTTATTTTGGAATGTCAAAAGAAGATTAAGCTATAGTCTCATTCTCATATCCTGTAATAATTAATCACCAATAAATCAAAGATTCAAGCTTAATGAATAAAAGCATGTGAATAGTAGTAGACACAGACCAGCAGAAAAAGTATAGAGTTAAAATTTTCAATTTGGCAGATGTAAGTCTATTTGTTTTTCTTAAAACATAAATTTCTCTTTTATAACAAAACAGTAATTTTAAGTGACATTTTCAATTCATTGAGCTTAATATTCCATATCATATTATTGGTTTTCATTTATACTAATCTAACAAAGGAAAAATATCCTTTAAATATTTAAAATTAAACCACAGAATTGAATATGGCTTATTTCTCAGTGACTTCAATAAGAATGTTTCAATGACCATTGGCTAATGAAATAAAGCATAATTCTCTTTTCTAGTGCAACTATAAAAACTATACCTTAAAGAAGTAATCAAAATTAAGTACTACTTTCAAAAGTATCTTAAAAGAAAGAAACTACAACTAATTATATAATATGAAAAAAGTGCAAATAAAAAATTACATTTCTTTAAAATTCATTAAATCCTGTCTTCTGAACCAAGACTCAGTCTAAATCCATTTTTTTACAAACGTAAAATAAGACTTTTTAAAAACTGTGATATGATTGATTGATTTTTAGAGATGAGGTCTCACTCTGTCACCCAAGCTAAAGGGATTACAGCTCACTGCAGTCTCCAATTCTTGGGCTCAAGTGAACTTCCCACCTCAGGCTCCTGAGTAGCTAGAACAACAGGCATGCACCACCATGCCCAGCCTGATTCATCTATAAGACAAATAAATATTGTCAGTAGAGTTCTTGCTTCAAATATTAGATTGGCGAATGCATGAAGCCAAAGACAAAATTTTATGATTTTTATATCTAAAAGAGTAACTTTTATAATGATGTTCAGTAAGTGTTAACTAAGTGGTATTTTTATAACGTAGTTCAGAAAATATATACATGTTTACCTCACTTTCAACAATTACCTTTAATTGTTTCCTCCACAACTTCTACCACACGATCTATCTGCTGAACCTAGAAAAGAAAACAAATTACTAAAAAGCAATTTACAAAGAGAAAAAAAAATCTGTATTTATCCTTCTGCTTAGATCAGTGCTACACATTTTCTAAGCATATCAATGCAGGCTTTCTTTAATATATTTGGAGATATTATACAAAATATTCTATATTAATGTTCTGTGTTACAATGAAGTATGCAATTATAATATTACAATGAAGTATGAAATTATAAAATTCACTTGTTCTCCAATGATAAGTGAAGAAATTATACTGCATTTAAATAAACCACCAGGAGTTGTGTTAGAATAACCTATCAACATACTGAGATATAAACTTAAGTTTAATTAAGACTTCTTACACAGAGCTTCAAGAAAAAAAAATCCCGGCATAACCTACACAAAAGAACATGCTAGTATTAAGGAGATCTGTTCCAAATTCCATTCTTTATTATTTTAATATTCAGAACCCCTTGAATGAATCTCTACCATGTGCTGAGAACTGTACTCAGATTCACGAAATACAAAGTCAAATAACACAGCTCCTGTTCTGTTCACCAGAGATTAGGGAAGAATATCCAGGGTGCCATGGGAGTACAGAGGAAAGGCAATAAAATCAGATGAAATGATCCAGGAATGCTTTCTAGAGAATCAAAGATGACTCCTGAGGTTATGATAAAGAGGATTATTATAGGAGAAGCCCACTAAGAAAACTGAGTAAGCATGGCCAGAATTTAGAAGAAAAATTTAAAAAGCAAAGTAATATTATGACTTAAAAAGCTAAACGAAGAAAGTAAGACTAGATCAACGTTGATTCTCTTTTAAAAACTCTCAAATTATCAATTGTATTGCAGGAAAAAATCACCAAAAAGACCAAACAAAATAGAAATATAAAAAGGAAATAAGTTAAAGCAAACCATAACATCCTCCATCCACTATTTTCACTGCTCAGATAAAATCACTTGTAGCGGTTTGATGAATAGACACCAAGATATTTTCTGGTATCAAACATTTATATATGTCTTCTCAATAGTCCTACTCTTTTTTACAAATAATAAGGGAGAAAAAAATATATATATTTGTGTGGTGCAAATATATAAATACATACATAAAACAGACCTGTTTCTTGATTTTTTTTTCTATATGTCATCAATCTATATAGATATATTTCATTCATTTTACTAGCTGCCTAGTACATCACTGTATGGATGTACAACGATGCATTCATTTATACTACTTTTGATGAAAAAAATACAATGCTATAATGAACTCACATGAGAGAAGAATCTGTTTAAAGGATTTTACTAAAAATGTAATGGCAAGTCTCTTAAAAATATTCCTTTGTTCTCAGTGTCTTGTAGGAAATAAGACTACTGAGAGCAGAACCTGAATACCACTCTGATCCCATGATACTCTGTAGCAGCAGCAATAATTACTGAGAACCTCATGAAAGCAAAGTAAATCTCAGAGAATGTTAGGTTTTTAGTCTCCAACAAACCCACCTAACTGGAGTTACATCTACCTGGAAAGCACTGGAACCATTGGACACTGGGTTTATTAAATCTATGTGCCTTCCCTACAGAATGTGATCAAAGAAGCCAGCAGAACTAAGATTTCAAAGAGGAGGGAGTGACCAACAGTGCCAAAGGCTACAGAGATAGGTAACACAAAGACTAAAATGAGTGTGCTTGATTTAACAATAAAGGGGTCAATAAACTTAGAGGGAAAAGAGAGTTCACTAGTAATGAGTCATAAATAAGAAAATGGAGAGAGCTAATATAGACTACTCTTAAAGGGAAGGAGAAAGAGGACTCCTGATGGCTAGAGAATATTGAATATATTGAGTATATGGGTTTAAGTTAGTATATTTAACTATTTCTTATTACTATTATTATCATCCTATTATTATTGCTGTTTACATGCTGAGGAGAGAAAGTCAGTAGACAAACAGGAATTAAAGACAGAAAAAATAATTAATGGAGCAATGTCCCTCAGGAAATGGACAAGGTAAGATCCAAAACACAGATTGAGAGACAAGCCCAGAATGAGAAAAGGGCCAAGTCTTCCCCTAAAACAAGAGGTTAGGAGGAAAGCTTGAGAACAGACGCCAGTATTCTTGTAGTGGTTAGAGATGCTAAAAAAAATTCCCACCTTTGGCCTCAATTTTTCTCAGTGGAGTATGAAGCAAGTTCATCTCCTAAGAGTGGTAAAGTATATTGTGAAATAAGAACAGAGTAAATATTTAAAAATACCTGTTGCAGAGAATAAAATAGAGTGAAGGCTAGGGATGCATAAAAATTGCCAGAAGGTACTGAAAGATACCGGTTTAAATTAGAGATCATGAGCTTACAGCAATTATTCTATGTGTAGTTATAATTTTTTTCAAGGCCCAGCAATTCTGAGTAGAACCCAATCAGACAAATAGATTGATCCAAGTTTTGTTAATTCCACCATTTATTCACTCATCGTTTACCGAGCATCTGATGTACACTAGGATGGTTCAAGGGGCAGGGGAAACAGCAAAAGAGATTTATGGAGTGAACTTGAAAGAAGTAGATAAAAGAAAGTTGACTATGCATTTTGGATGAGACAAAGTTTGGAGAATACATTGGACAGTGAAAAAAAAGAAGAACCAGAAAGAAGAAATGAAGTGTCTGGGTGTTTGGAGAAGGAAAGAACAAGGGGAAAAAAGAGAAAGAATGATAAAAGGAGAAAAGAAACAAGATAGAAGTTATAATCAGAGTTACAGATACAGGCATTTAGTATTTCTGAAAAATAGCAAGTCCAAGATCTCACAATGGGAACAGATTAATAAAACAAGGTGCAAATGATGACCACTGGAATTGAGATACAACAAACTAAGATGTTATAATGTTGGTGAGACATCACATCCAGACACTCAGGCTGACCAAGGTAATAAGAGCCGTAGGAGGATAGGGAAGAGCTGGTCAAATTTTCCAGTGAATGTGGGTGAATGACCAAGAAGATATCAATAGAGGATAGAAGAAGAGAAAAACAGAAGTTAAAATGAGATGCGCATCAATGATGGAGCCAGAATAAAAATGCTTTCCTGTACAGTTAGAAATATAAAAGCTCAAAGTGATCACGGCATAGACTCTTGAAGCACATGGAATACATAAGAAGTTGCATGGAATACATAAGAAGTCGTATTCTTTCAGAAGAGTCAGAGCAGCATGTAGAGAAAGCAGTCTGTTAAAAAGTTGGAAGTAAGATAAAACTATAAAACTCTTAGAAGATATCACAGCCATAATTCTACATGAAGCTTAAATTGCACAATGCTCCTTACACTGAAACACAAGCAAAAATAACAACAGAAACAGATAAATTGGATATCATCAAAATTCAAATATTTTGGTACTTCAAAGGACACCATCAAGACAATAACAACAGAAAATGGGAGAAAATTTTTACAGATCATATATCTGGTAAAGGATTTGTATCTAGAAAATATAAAGAACTTCTAAAATTCAATAATAAAAAGACAAATAAACCAATTCAAAATGGGAAAAGAGTCTGAAGAGACACTTCTCCACAGAAGACAGAACAATAGCTTCCCCAAACACACACACACACACACACACACACACACAAAGATGCTCAATATCATCAGCCAACCAGGAAATGCATATCAAAACCACAACAGAGGAGTGGGGAGCTAATGGTTAATGGGTACTGAATTTCTGTTTGAGAAAATGAAAACATTCTGGAGATGGACGGTGATGATGGTTGCACAACAATGTGAATGTACTTAATGCCATTAAACTACAGTTAAAAATGATTAAAATGGTAAATTTTAGTGTTTGTAAATTTTACCACTATTTAACTAAACCCACAATAAGATACTAGAATGACTTTCATAAAAAAAGATAGAAAAGAACAAGTGTTGGCAAGGATGTTGAGGAATTGGAGTCTTTATATATTGCTGATGGGAATGTAATAATATGATAAAGGCCCTTTGTAAAATAGTCTGGCAGGTCCTTAAACAGTTAAACATAGAATTACCATATAATTCAGCAATATCAATCCTAGATATATAGCCAAGAAAAATGAAAATACATGTTAATGTAAAAACTTGTACACATATGTTTACAGCAGCATTATTCATAATAGTCAAAAGGTGAGAATCCAAGTGACCATCAACTGATAAACAGACAAATTGTTACACAATGTAAGTATCTAAACATACAAAAGGTACAATAAAAATACCATATTATAATCTATAGGACCTTTGCAGTATATATGTAACTGACTGAAACATCGTTATGACAGTATTATTAAGTCATAAAAGAGAATAAAATATTGTTACGTGACATAACATTATGCTACATTTAAAAAGTCAGACAAAAAGATCACGTATATGAAATGTCCAAAACAGAAAAATCTACAGAGATAATTCAGGCCAGTGACTGTCTATGGATGAGTGGTGGGAGAAATGGAAGGCAGTGCTAAGAAGTACTAGGTTTCTTTGTGGAGTGACGACAGTGTTCTAAAATTGATTGTGGTGATGGCTGCACAACTTTGTGAATAAACTAAAAACCACTGAATTATATATTTTAAGTGGGTGAACAGCATGGTGTATGAATTGTATCTCAATAAAGTTGCTATTAGTAAAAAAAAAAAAAAAAAAAAAGTTGAGAGGGGGCAAATGTTCTAATGTCAAGGTCATGAAACTCAAGGAAAACCTGAGAAAATGTTACCGATTAAATGAGACTAAAGAAACCTAACAACTGAATACAACTATAAATCTAGGATTTTTCTTTTTCTATAAAGAATATTATGGAAACAATTGGCAATATCCAAATAAAGTCTATACACTAGTTTATAGTATTGTATCAATTCTGATCATTGTACTGTAGTGATATAAAAGAATGTCCTAGTTTCTGAAATATGCCCCTTTAGAAGTAAAGGGGCATTACGCTTACAACTCACATTCAAGAGCATCCCCAAACAATGTGTATACATAAGAAAGAGAATAAGCAAATTAGTTGAAATACTAGT